CTTATGAATGTCAAGAACGCAAGGCAAAAAAATACAGCAGTGCGCAGGCTGGCAAAACGACATCTGATACAGTAAATAACATTACATGGCGAGATTGTATTGAAAGCTTGTTTGAGCTCTTGGCTCTGTCAACATTACATTGTTTGCCAATTGTTTTAGATCCCATTTGTAAAATTGTAAAGCATTTCCAATATAAATAAATAAAATGAATAACGGATTGACCAATAAAAGGTGCCAGAGGGAGGATACAGATTTATGATCCAAGAATCAGTGAAACTGTCACTTCTTTTTGGAAATGACATCAGTGATTAAAGCCATGGAACGCACCTCTAGCTAGAGTCAATCTTTTTGTCAAATGAGGCTCCATTTTCTTTTAAAGGAACACTCTAACATTAAAAAAAATACAGTTTTGAATGCCCAATGCGTTCTTTAGAAAGCATATATTATGGACCCCCATTGTTTAAAACAAATTTAATAAAAAAATTACCCTTTTAGGATGTAAGAATTCCTCTTTAAAGCCAGTCAACTAAACACCAATGAAGAATAGAAGAACAAGTGGTGGTGAAGAAGGACGTAGCTCCCTGCACCAGATACTCTTCCAGTTATTTATAAAGAGATCCCCTAGAGGCAAGGTTCTTAAAGTGGGGCCGTCGCCATGGAAACCAACAGACTGGTACCACTAGTTGCTTTTATCACATTGCATCACAACTGTCCATGATAAATAACCCTTGAGGGCATAGTAATTTACCTACAAAGCGCCCCCTCTCTCAAAGCTGTGAACTGCAATGAACCCTGGCAGGACCTACTTGAAGCCTTATTTTTTTGTTAAATATATAGAAAGTCTGTCCATTCATTTCATACACTCGTTTAATCTAAGAGAAACAGCCGGCCCTCTAAAATGTCTCCCAATGAATTAACATTTTGTCTGATAGTAGAATATTCAGTTCATTTGGACCTCGATTAACATTTTCCACTAGAGAACATACGTGGCGAGTTTTTAAAACGTGTTTCATTTTCCAGGAAGGGTTAGTGAAAAGCGTTTTATTGCTCACTCCCAGACAGTTTATTACCTGCGTCTGGTGGTGAGGATTTAAAGTTATATACGGACCGGTTTATCTGTGATTTATAATAAGTCCAGGCAAATAGCGACTTGTTTATGCAACACTTTACCATTTACACACACGGTTTTTACTGAAGGGTGAATTATGGAGAATTCAAAATTTAGGCCAGACTAATTGAACTGAAAACACATGAGATTTTGTGGCGTGGAATTCGAATTTCTGACAATTCTCACTGTAGTGAATATACCTGATCACATGTGCAAGTGTTGCATAATATTCACAAAAAATAAATGAGAAGTAAAGAAATGAGAATGTTAGAAGAGCTGGTGAGATAGTTTGGTAGATAGGTTTTCAGCAGCTGTATCTCAGTGACAGGTCCCATTTCTGGCAAGCTGGTGTTTCTGAAGTCAATAAAACAAGTTCCATTGAGTTGGGTACCAATGACAAACAGACCTCCAGATGTACTTGGGCACTAGCGACCAGCTAAATGTACCCTTCCTGGTTAAATACTTGAATGAGAGACAGCACGTGCATGCTTTTAGAAAAAGAAAAACCACTTTCAGTTTAGTTTCATCTACTTCTCCCCCTCTGCAAAAAGGAAGAGACAGCAGAAAACATACACATCTTCCATTGGCTTATTGACAATATTATATACAGCATGGATGTCCCATACCATACAATACAAAACACAGTACTATTTCTGTATATTAATTCCATAACATCTCTGTATAACACGTTGTAGGCAACCCTTTAATACTGCTAATGTGCTCAGTGTCCCCCCTGTAATAACCAGGCACTGCTCCCTATAATAACCAGTACACCCTGTAATACTCAGAAAACCTCTAATACCCAGGCAGTACCCTATAATACCCAGTACCCCCTGTAATACTCAGTAAACCTCGAATACCCAGGCTGTATCCCTACAATACTAGAACACCCAGTACCCCTATAATATTAAAATAACCAGAACCCCTGTAATACCCAGTATAGTAACCCCTGTAATACTTAGTAGCTTGTACCCCTATAATAATATAATACCCAGCACCGCTGTAATACTACACTACCCTGTACCCCTATAATACCCAGCACTCCCTATAATACTCTTATACCCAGTATCCATTATAATACCCAGACAGTACCCCTATAATACTCTTATACCCAGTATCCATTGTAATACCCAGACAGTACCCCTATAATACTATAATACCCAGCACTCCATATAATACCCAGACAGTACCCTTATAATACTCTTATACCCAGTACCCCCTATAATACCCAGACAGTACCCCTATAATACTCTTATACCCAGTATCCATTGTAATACCCAGACAGTACCCCTATAATACTATAATACCCAGCACTCCATATAATACCCAGACAGTACCCTTATAATACTCTTATACCCAGTACCCCCTATAATACCCAGACAGTACCCCTATAATACTATAATACCCAGCACTCCCTATAATACTCTTATACCCAGTATCCATTGTAATACCCAGACAGTACCCCTATAATACTATAATACCCAGCACTCCCTATAATACCCAGACAGTACCCTTATAATACTCTTATACCCAGTACCCCCGATAATACCCAGACAGTACCCCTATAATATCCCAGCACCCCTGTAATACTCAGACAGTACCCCTATAATACCCAGTATAGTACCCCCTGTAATACTTAGTACCCTATACCCCTATAATACTATTATTACCCAGCACCCTTATTATACTATAATACCCAGTAGAACCCCTATTACACAATATCCAGTACCCCCATAATACCCAGACAGTATCCTATAATACTATGATACCCAGTACCCCTGTAGTACCCAGTATAGTACCCCCTATAATACTCAGTACCCTGTACCCCTATAATACTCATACCCAGTACCCCTATAATATTATGATACCCAGTACCCCCTGTAGTACCCAGACAGTACCCCTATAATACTATATTACCCAGGCAGTGCCCCTATAATACCCAGACAGTACCCCTATAATACTATAATACCCAGGCAGTACCCCTATAATACCCAGACAGTGCACCTATAATACCCAGACAGTACCCCTATAATACTATAATACCCAGGCAGTACCCCTATAATACTATAATACCCAGGCAGTGCCCCTATAATACCCAGGCAGTACCCCTATAATACCCAGACAGTGCCCCTCTAATACCCAGACAGTACCCCTATAATACTATAATACCCAGGCAGTGCCCCTATAATACCCAGACAGTGCCCCTATAATACTATAATACCCATGCAGTACCCCTATAATACCCAGACAGTGCCCCTATAATACTATAATACCCAGGCAGTGCCCCTATAATACTATAATACCCAGGCAGTACCCCTATAATACTATAATACCCAGGCAGTGCCCCTATAATACTATAATAGCCAGGCAGTACCCCTATAATACCCAGACAGTGCCCCTATAATACTATAATACCCAGGCAGTACCCCTATAATACTATAATACCCAGGCAGTGCCCCTATAATACTATAATAGCCAGGCAGTGCCCCTATTATACCCAGGCAGTGCCCCTATAATACTATAATACCCAGGCAGTGCCCCTATAATACCCAGGCAGTGCCCCTATAATACTATAATACCCAGGCAGTGCCCCTACAATACTATAATACCCAGGCAGTGCCCCTATAATACACAGGCAGTACCCCTATAATACTATAATACCCAGGTAGTGCCCCTATAATACCCAGACAGTACCCCTATAATACTATAATACCCAGGCAGTGCCCCTATAACACCCAGGCGAGGTGCCCTACAATACACTATAATACCCAGGCAGTGCCCTACAATACTATAATGCAGACGGTGCCTACCTGTTTATATGCCAGGCGGTGCCCTATAATGCCAGACGGTGCCCTACAATGCACTATATTACCCAGGCGGTGCCCCTATAATGCAGGCGGTGCCCTGTACACTATAATACCCAGGCAGTGCCCCTATAATACTATAATACCCAGGCAGTGCCCCTATAATACCCAGGTAGTGCCCCTATAATACTATAATACCCAGGCAGTGCCCCTGTAATACCCAGGCAGTGCCCCTATAATACCCAGGCAGTGCCCCTGTAATACCCAGGCAGTGCCCCTGTAATACTATAATACCCAGGCAGTGCCCCTATAATACCCAGGCAGTGCCCCCTATAATACTATAATACCCAGGCAGTGCCCCTGTAATACGCAGGCAGTGCCCCTATAATACTATAATACCCAGGCAGTGCCCCTACAATACTATAATACCCAGGCAGTGCCCCTATAATACCCAGGCAGTGCCCCTATAATACTATAATACCCAGGCAGTGCCCTTATAATACCCAGGCAGTACCCCTATAATACTATAATACCCAGGCAGTGCCCCCTATAATACTATAATACCCAGGCAGTGCCCCTGTAATACCCAGGCAGTGCCCCTACAATACTATAATACCCAGGCAGTGCCCCTATAATACCCAGGCAGTGCCCCTATAATACTATAATACCCAGGCAGTGCCCCTATAATACCCAGGCAGTACCCCTGTAATACTATAATACCCAGGCAGTGCCCCTATAATACTATAATGCCCAGGCAGTGCCCCTATAATACCCAGGCAGTACCCCTATAATACTGTAATACCCAGGCAGTACCCCTATAATACCCAGGCAGTGCCCCTACAATACTATAATACCCAGGCAGTACCCCTATAATACCCAGGCAGTGCCCCTATAATACCCAGACAGTGCCCCTATAATACTATAATACCCAGGCAGTGCCCTTATAATACCCAGACAGTACCCCTATAATACTATAATACCCAGGCAGTGCCCCTATAATACCCTGGCAGTACCCCTATAATACCCAGACAGTGCCCCTATAATACCCAGACAGTGCCCCTATAATACTATAATACCCAGGCAGTGCCCCTATAATACCCAGACAGTACCCCTATAATACTATAATACCCAGGCAGTACCCCTATAATACCCAGGCAGTGCCCCTATAATACCCAGACAGTGCCCCTATAATACTATAATACCCAGGCAGTGCCCCTATAATACCCAGACAGTACCCCTATAATACTATAATACCCAGGCAGTGCCCCTATAATACCCAGGCAGTGCCCCTACAATACTATAATACCCAGGCAGTGCCCCTATAATACTATAATACCCATGCAGTACTCCTATAATACTATAATACCCAGGCAGTGCCCCCTATAATACCCAGGCAGTGCCCCTACAATACTATAATACCCAGGCAGTGCCCCTATAATACCCAGGCAGTGCCCCTACAATACTATAATACCCAGGCAGTGCCCCTATAATACTATAATACCCAGGCAGTGCCCCTATTATATACAGGCAGTGCCCCTATAATACTATAATACCCAGGCAGTGCCCCTATTATATACAGGCAGTGCCCCTATAATACCCAGGCAGTACCCCTATAATACCCAGGCAGTGCCCCTATAATACTATAATACCCAGGCAGTGCCCCTATAATACCCAGGCAGTACCCCTATAATACTATAATATCCAGGCAGTGCCCCTATAATACCCAGGCAGTGCCCCTACAATACTATAATACCCAGGCAGTGCCCCTATTATATACAGGCAGTGCCCCTATAATACTATAATACCCAGGCAGTACCCCTATAATACTATAATATCCAGGCAGTGCCCCTATAATACCCAGGCAGTGCCCCTATAATACTATAATACCCAGGCAGTGCCCCTATTATATACAGGCAGTGCCCCTATAATACCCAGGCAGTACCCCTATAATACTATAATACCCAGGCAGTACCCCTATAATACCCAGGCAGTACCCCTGTAATACTATAATACCCAGACAGTGCCCCTATAATACACAGGCAGTGCCCCTACAATACTATAATACCCAGGCAGTGCCCCTATAATACCCAGGCAGTACCCCTGTAATACTATAATACCCATAATACCCAGGCAGTGCCCCTATAATACTATAATGCCCATGCAGCACCCTATAATACTATAAATACCCAGGCAGTGCCCCTATAATACCCAGCAGTGCCCCCTACACACTATAACACCCAGGCAGTGCCCTATAATACCCAGGCAGTGCCCCTACAATACTATAATACCCAGGCAGTGCCCCCTATAATACCCAGACAGTGCCCCTACAATACTATAATACCCAGACAGTGCCCCTATAATACTATAATACCCTATAATACCCAGGCAGTACCCCTATAATACTATAATACCCAGGCAGTGCCCCTATAATACTATAATGCCCATGCAGTACCCCTATAATACTATAATACCCAGGCAGTGCCCCTATAATACCCAGGCAGTGCCCCTACAATACTATAATACCCAGGCAGTGCCCCTATAATACTATAATATCCAGGCAGTGCCCCTATAATACCCAGGCAGTGCCCCTACAATACTATAATACCCAGGCAGTGCCCCTATAATACTATAATACCCAGGCAGTGCCCCTATTATATACAGGCAGTGCCCCTATAATACTATAATACCCAGGCAGTGCCCCTATAATACCCAGGCAGTGCCCCTATAATACTATAATACCCAGGCAGTGCCCCTATAATACCCAGGCAGTGCCCCTACAATACTATAATACCCAGGCAGTGCCCCTACAATACTATAATACCCAGGCAGTGCCCCTATTATATACAGCAGTACCCCTATAATACTATAATACCCAGGCAGTACCCCTATATATACTATAATATCCAGGCAGTGCCCCTATAATACTATAATACCAAGGAAGTGCCCCTATAATACCCAGGCAGTGCCCCTATAATACCCAGGCAGTACCCCTGTAATACTATAATACCCAGGCAGTGCCCCTATAATACCCAGGCAGCGCCCCTATAATACCCAGGCAGTACCCCCTATAATACCCAGGCAGTGCCCCTATAATACCCAGGCAGTACCCCCTATAATACCCAGGCAGTGCCCCTGTAATACCCAGGCAGTGCCCCCTATAATACCCAGGCAGTGCCCCTGTAATACCCAGGCAGTGTCCCTGTAATACCAGTAGTATGCCCAGCTATCCCTCCCTCTGACTCCTCCGCAGACTCACAACCTGATAACAGGCACGTCCGCCGACCGCATCACCAGGCGGGCCAGTGACATCACCGCCCTCCACTATATATATGTATCCTTCCGCAGAACACTGAGCGATCCGCATCATCATACACTGACAGCAGCCAGCCAGCCAACCAGCCAGCCAGGAGCAGGTAAGAGAGCGACAGGAGACATAATACTGAATGTTACATGGGTCTTATATAACAATAGACACTACAGGATGGGGGTTAATAAGAATGGACTCTACAGGATGGGGGTTAATAAGAATGGACTCTGCAGGAAGGGGTTAATAAAGAATTAAATCTACAGGATGGGGGTTAATATAGACTTTACAGGATGGGGGTTAATAAAGAATTAAATCTACAGGATGGGGGTTAATAAGAATAGACTCTACAAGATGGGGTTAATAAAGAATTAAATCTACAGGATGGGGGTTAATAAGAATGGACTCTGCAGGAAGGGGTTAATAAGAATGGACTCTGTTTGATGGGGGTTAATAAGAATGGACTCTACAGGATGGGGTTAATAAGAATGGACTCTGCAGGATGGGGTTGATAAAGAATGGACTCTACAGGAAGGGGTTAATAAGAATGAAGTCTACTGGAAGGGGTTAATAAGAATGGAGTCTACTGGAAGGAGTTAATAAGAATTAATTCTGCAAGGTGGGTGTTAATAAGAATGGACTTTACAGGATGGGGTTAATAAGAATGGACTCTGCAGGATGGGGGTTAATAAGAATGGACTCTACAGGATGGGGTTAATAAGCATGGACTCTGTAGGATGGGGGTTAATAAAAATGGACTCTGCAGGATGGGGTTAATAAAGAATGGACTCTGCAGGAAGGGGTTAATAAGAATGAAGTCTACTGGAAGGGGTTAATAAGAATGGAGTCTACTGGAAGGAGTTAATAAGAATTAATTCTGCAAGGTGGGTGTTAATAAGAATGGACTCTACAGGTTGGGGTTAATAAGAATGGGCTCTGTAGAAAGGGGATTAATAAGAATGGAGTCTACTGAAAGGGGTTAATAAGAATGGACTGCATAATGGGGTTAATAAGAATGAATTCTACAGGATGGGGTCAATAAGAATGCATGCTGTAGGAAGGGGTTAATAAGAATGGACTCTGTATGGGAATAATAGGAATGAACTGGGTGTTAATAATAATAATGTACTCTACAGGAAGGGGTTAATAATCATGGACCCTGCATTTTAGGGGAGGTGTTTTGCGGCTCAATGAAAAAAACATGGAAATCCAGGATACAGACAGTATAAGTGTTTAAGAAAGCTACAGGATCTATATCTATATATTATTTTACTAGGAAAGGATACATTGTGTTCTGTGGAACAAATTGAATATTTATCAGAGTGAAAGTCCCCACACCTTGTAACTGCTTACTAAGACATATGCTATAAACCCATTATTTATTATATTGTAACTGCCAGGGGCATGCTGTAACATTGTTAGTGAGTAGAAAGGTATCATTATTTGTAAATATTGCTGGGTACATTAGCACCTGTTGTATATGATCTCCCGGTGTATTCTGGGTCATTTGCATTCACACCCTATTACACTGGCATGGTTTATATTTAGTAAGAGGCTGTGATGTAAAATGGAATCCCTGAGTGGATCTGAAGGTCATGATGCTGTCCCCCCCTCCCTCAGTCAGGGTTATGTATCATCGGCAGGGGGAGGGGGTAGTTTGCACTGAGTCATTACCAGGGAGGGGTTTCTGGATGTTGCAGAATGTATTCCAGATATATTTTGCAAACGATACAGTATATTTCTTCTGAGTGTGTACATGCGTGTATATATGTATGTATGTATGCATGTATATATGGGGTGTATATCTATCTATCTGTCTGTGTGTCTGTCATCTCACAAAGATGTCCAAGAATTTTAGTCTTTCAACATTGAAATGTTTTCTTAAGGGTAAAATTTGGAGAGGTTGAAACACTAAACTGAGAAATTGCAGAGAATTGACATGGAAATCGGAATTGTCAGGTACAAAGCAGCAGCATAGGAAAAAAATGTCGTAAAAATTCCAAGTCAACACAATTACCAACTTAGTGCAAAAACCCACGATAGCACGCGTTCGCCATAATCTCCATCTTCACAAAATACGCAGAGATGACCTTTGCGTGGGCGTTCACGCCAGATGTTAGATTCTACCAGATCAAAATGAAATGATTTCTGCATCGTCAGTTGTCGTCTGTGGAAAACCTGATGTGACAATGCTAACATTCTTGGAAGGCCTGTCCGGCTCTCTATTTATATTGCAATCTCTGGCCTCAATCCATTGGATTTGTTGGACTCTACCAATGAGTAACCCAGTAACCATCTGCGAGCCTCTCCCATGGCGATCACCGCACTGCTTGGGGAATCCAGGCCTTAATCTTTTTAAGGGGATTATTAATGTTATTAATGTGCAAAGAGTACATCGCTGGATAATGGAGAATTCAGGATTCAGACGACCGTATTTCCAATAGAACCCTGTTTTGTTTTTTTCCACACAGTATCCACATATTTCAGCACAGCTTGCTTAGATTTATTTATTTTATTCCTGTAGCAGTTTAAAATTCAGAATAACGTGAATTTATTTCTCACAAATTAAACTAAAAACATTCATATATATGATGTGTCAATTTCAGAAGAATATTTAATAAAAACAGGAATTGTGTAGGCTTTAGATTAAATGCTTTACCACCTTGACTTATACATATGAACTTGTCCCCCCCTCCATCCCACACACATAGACTAGGCGTCTGTGGGAGGCGATTTCAAGAGAATGGTGGCCTTAAAAAGACCAAAATTAAGTTTCATGTGTTTTAGATGAATTACTACAACCTGCCACAAGGGGGTGCTGCAGATATTCTCCTTAAATATATATGTCCTTTAGTTTATTTATAGTATATATATATTTATTATATGTTGTGTACTATTCAAGTGGAGTTACAGGGTACTATGGGTAATAACCAGTAGAGTTAGAGGGTTCATTATGGGTAATATTCATGTAGGGTTACAAGGTGCATTATGGGTAATATTTCTGCATAGGTACAGGGTGCAGTATGTGTACAAGCCAGAGGAAGTATCTCTGTTTGAAGTTATGTTTTGTATCGCTTGTAGCCCTTGGAGTGTGTTCTGTTGTGTTAATGTTTAGCCAAATGATAAACATTCTCTAAATGGAATTTACTGGTGTTAAGATCAATTCTAGAAAATACCATCATGGAGGAAAATGTTACCTACTATAGGAGAATTTTACCCAAAATAGAAGCAAGGAATGTTTTTTGTACAATAAACTATTTCGGGAGATTTTACATAAGTCATTGTGTGAAAATGTAGTGAGTGATATGGATATCTGTGTAAAGGAACAAGTGAAGTTCAATGTAACCAGAAATGACAGGTGGGGGGGTTGTTGGTTACATAATAATTGCAGTAACACTAGGAAAGTCGGTTACTGAAGTTTAAGTGGAACGCGTTGGCATAGAGCAGTGGTTGGATAGCAGCCTTGTCCGGTAGGTTGGGGGGGTTTGGAAGTCAGGGGATGGCCAGTGTCATAAGCAGATGATGACAGGGAACAGTACAGACAATCGTACAGAGTGTTAGAGAAACATGTCAGGGGAAACATTTTTGTAGATACATCATTTGGAAAGTTTTTTTTCCAAAAAATGGAGGCCTTTGTGTCTAGTGGTGTCGCATTAAGTTTTCTAATGACTGCTGAGGTCTAGGGCTGTGAAAATGTTATTTTAAGTTCAGGCTAGAGGTACTAGTCGTGTGAAGTGGAGGAAACTTGCTGGGGTGTAATTTCCTTCAGAGGCATTCAGCCAAACGGGAATCTTATAAGTCCTTGGAAATCTGGAAACTGAAGTAAATAGTGAGTGGAACTCACTTGAAATTTAAATTTCCACTTCATTCAGTTTTGAGAAAATAAAATTCCTAAAATTCCAAATTGTAGCAAACTGAAGAACAAAAAGCTAAATTTGGATGTAGGTAGCTTATCTCGATACGTTCACCAAATCCTCTATGAACGCAGCTGGGTTAGTTCGGCCTGGTTTCTTTTCAGAAAGACCGAACCGTCAGATTTCATAACGTAATATTTAAATGTGTTCTTTAAACACAGTGTGTGTTTTGAACTCTATTTTTTGCATAAAGAAAGCATTTAAAGTTAAAATCGACTGATTAAAGCTGAACTATTACTTTCTGTGATCTGTATTAAACTGCTTAAGGTGTGATTTGTGTGAGTGGTGATTATTTATTTTTTTCAATGAATTAATTAATTCTCACGTATTGGGGAAAAATTTATGAGAAATTGCTCACACAAGTTACAAACGCGACTGTTTAGTATAGACCAAAGAAAGTAATAGTAGTCTTTTTTTTTTGTAATGCCACAATCTATTCTAATTAAAACAATTTTAAATACTACAACCAGTCACATTAGAGTTCTAATGCTTTATTGGGGTGTCTTCAGAAGAATTTATTTGCTAGAATCTATCCCTGAGCTATTTGCAGACAATATGGTTGTTTACGTCTATGGTAACGGAAAAATCCTGGCAACAAGATCGTTTAAATGAAACATCATTTGATCTAAATCTCTGCTGACATTTTACGTAACACTATGTACAGGTCAAATGCTGCGATGTAAAAATGCTCACTAATCTCTTATAAATGAGACGTTCCCTAGAAATACACACTGTAAACAGCCGTTAGACAGAGTATTAGATCTATAAAACCGTAAGTGAGCTGTAGTTGGTCTGGTAAACGGACATCTAACTTGTTGGGGGTCTGGTAAACCAGGGCCGCCACCAGAAATATTGAGGCCTCTGACAAAGCACAAGGTCTGGACCCCCCCCCCCCGGCCCGCCCACCCCCACACCCAGAGTGTGTGTCAGTGTAATGAATGCAGAGTGTGTCAGTGTAATGAATGCAGAGTGTGTGTGTGTGTGTGTGTGTTTACTAGTGTATGTAATAATGTAAATGTAAAATCTGTTATTCCCCCCCTCCCTGCTGCTTACCTGGTTCAGGGAGGGGGGAGATTCCGTCCCTGGTGGTCCGGTGGCATGGTGGGGCCCCCCGGCTCCCTGTATTTGCAGAGGGGGCCCAGCAGTCTGCAGCTGTACATTACAGCTCTTCCCTCTCTCTAACTCCCGCGAGTGTGGTGTGCGTGCCGCGTGGAGCGTTGCCATGGTAACCCCTGGTAACACTCTGACGGACGCACATCTTGCGGGAGTTAGAGAGAGGCAAGAGATGTAACGTACAGCTGCAGACTGCTGGGCCCCCTCTGCAAATACAGGGAGTTGGGGGCCCGCGGCTGCACCTGCACTGCATAAAGTGATATATATGTGCAGAGAGGGAATGTGGGGCCCAGGACTGCCAAAGCAGTCCGGGCCCCCCAGGACCGCCGGACCCGTGACAACCATCATGGTTGTCACCCCCTGATGGCGGCCCTGTGGTAAACAATATAATTTTGTTCTTTGCAGTTTTACTTTGGTAATTGCTATAATGCAGTTGTTTATTGTAGTAATAATGTATTTATTCTGTCTGTCCACAGAACAAAAATGGCTTCAATGAAAGAAAAGCTCATCCACAATGTGGTGGCCGAACAATCCCTGCCACAGAACAAGATCACCATCGTTGGCGTTGGTGCAGTTGGCATGGCCTGTGCCATTAGCATCCTGCAAAAAGTAAGGCAGCCACATTGTTTGATTATTTATGATTGTCTTTGGGGGGTTGAGGGAGGTGGTTTTAGTAGAGTTTTTCTTTTTTTTTTCTTTTTTTTGTTATGATCCTTAACCAGGAGAAGCCAACTCTATTGTTAAACAAAATGCCTACGATTCTCAGAATCCATTGGCTGCTGGAGAACTACAACAAAATGTTTCAGACTTAAAGGGACACTATAGGCACCCAGACCACTTCAGCTCATTGAAGTGGTCTGGGTACAGTGTCCCAGCACCCTTAACCCTGAACAGGTAATTAGTGAAGTTTTTACCAGACAGCCATTACAGGGACTTCCGGGTGGTTAGGTGACTTTTGGTCATCTAAATGACACTGGATGTCCTCACGCTATGCATGAGGACTTCCAGCGTCACCGGAATCCCAATAGGAACGCACAGAATAATGCGAAAAGGGGGAGCTTGACGAGTTTGCTTTTCTGGTACTGTAGTTTCCCTTTAATTCCAAATACATAAAAAGTAACCATATACATAATATGTCAAATTTCCCAGGAACAGCGATGTTTTACATTGCAGTAGTAAGTGCAAAAGGGTCACAGCACCCAGACTACTTCAATGGGCTGAAGTGGTCTGGGTGCCTACAGTGTCCCTTTAAAGAACTTATCACCACGGAAATATATATATATATACTTATTAACCTTATGCATCAATGGAGGTTTTTCTCCTACTTTCTGGAATTATTGGCTTAACATATACCCAGTTTAAGGCTTACTTTATCTGCAGATAGCCAATGATCTCAGAGTTGCATGAATGTACACGGTCGTCATGTGAATGCATTAGAATACAGTCCTGGTCATGCGTAGAGTACTTGCCTCCCTTTGTAATATCTTCTAAAAAGACCATTTAAGAAACTAGTCAGGATTTGGGTCTTGTGGTTGATACTGAAGGTTGATGAATCATTAAGGTAGAATTTCCTAAATGAAGTTCTCTTTCACTGTGCCCAGGACTTAGCAGATGAAGTTGCTCTGGTTGATGTGATCGAAGACAAACTGAAGGGTGAGATGATGGATCTTCAACATGGAAGCCTTTTCCTGCGCACACCAAAGATAGTCTCAGGAAAAGGTAAGTTGACTGAATAGAAGTTTTGGTGCAGATTTACAAAAGTGTGATGTGATCATATCGCCAAGCCTGGTTAAAGCCACAGTCCACTGCCCAAATAAACACACATACTTTTCCTGCTTTTTTTTGCCTGGATTGCATTGGATTCCCAAATCCACTGTTGGTTATTTCATTTTGAGAAAATGATCCACCTCTAATTACAATTACAATAATTTATATATAGCAAATCTATTCCACAGCACTGAATAATGTGTAAACCAGGACAAAATATTAATTCTACCAAAACACGTTGATACATGAGAACAGTGGGTGAATCGGGCCCTGCCCAAACTCTGTTTTACAGATTACAGTGTGACAGCAAACTCCAAACTGGTCATCGTCACAGCTGGCGCAAGGCAACAGGAAGGGGAGAGCCGTCTGAACCTGGTTCAGCGTAACGTCAACATCTTTAAATTCATCATTCCCAACATTGTCAAATACAGTCCCAACAGCATGCTGCTCGTTGTCTCCAATCCTGGTGAGTCTTATCCCCTCGTTGCTTCAGATCATTGATTGATTGACCCATTGCACAAGGAACAAGCTTATTGAACCATCACAAGACCAAAACCAAGAACGTGTCTGGTAGAGGTCTAACTAGGCTTGATTAGTTAAAGCTCCACCAGTAATATCTAAATAACTTGCTGGTTCTGCCAGAGGTGGTGTTACATCTCCATCATTGGAGGGGTTAAACTCCGTATATGCAACGTTTCAAAGCAAAACACTGCACTTACATACTCCAGTCACCATGACCACTTCAAGATCACTGAAGTGGTCATGGTGTTTGTAGTCACCCTTTAACATGGAATACTAAATAAATCCTTTTGATCAAGTAAGTAAACTTGTGTTTTTATGTCCATATTTGCTGAAGGTTGTCTAACCCTTTCCATATTTTGTGGGATGGTGGCAGAAACGTGTGCACATAGCTGCAAAAGGGCAGATGCCACACAAATCACATCACCTCGCTCTCAGAATAAATCGGCATTCCAGTGCTTTAACCCCTTAAGGACCAAACTTCTGGAATAAAAGGGAATCATGACAAGTCACACATGTCATGTGTCCTTAAGGGGTTAAGTCAGATATGTATTTTGAGTTATCTGGATTGGTAATGTTTCAAGTTGATATCCAGAAGACCCAAGCACCGGTCTAGTATGTTAACCCAAAATGTGATCAGTCAGCATGTATTTCTTAGTTTCCTCTCTGACTTTATTCCACAAAATAATGTATTTATTTATTTTCTTTTAATCAGAATATCCTTCCTTTTGTCCTATTCTGCTAGCCAAATAATTCTGTAAGCCCTGAGCATGACCCTACTTCCATCCGTACATGGATCGGAATGGGACACTTTTGGCAACTTCATTTTGATGTCAACAGTTTCAGATGTTAGGATTTGTAACCAATAGAACTGTTACCTTAATTTTGACCCCTTGGATAATGTAAGGAAAGAGATTTGAGTTTTAGGGTAAGGTTTAGGGATAGTGGAGTTTAGGGTTGAGAAAGTGGCCTGTGTTAAAATTAACCCAAGGCTTTATCTGGTAGAACACGTCACTTGCTACAAAAACCATTTTCTTTATGTTGGATCCTTGTTTAGAAAGTGAAACTGAACATGGTCGTGTTAGAAATTTGTTATTATGACCAGGAGCCATTTATCTCTATTTAGATTAATCCAATATCACTCATCTAGTCTGGGATTGTCTAATGTTGTTACAGTTTCCAACTTATTAAACTGCTTTTTTTCCCCCCCACAGTGGACATCTTAACCTATGTGGCCTGGAAGATTAGTGGCTTCCCCAAGCACCGTGTTATTGGCAGTGGCTGCAACCTGGACTCTGCTCGTTTCCGCTACCTCATGGGGGAGAAATTGGGCATCCACTCCCTGAGCTGCCACGGCTGGGTTATTGGAGAACATGGAGACTCTAGCGGTGAGGGCAATTCTCCTGCTTCTTAGCTGACCCCAAGACACATTCCTCGGGATAGTCACTAGACCTAAAGTAAAACTATACTGGGTCTAAATTTATCCGTAACACTGGCCTTTGAAAAGGTCACAAATGTAACTCAAGAAGTTCACAATCTGACCTTCCCCAGTAAAAGCCAGAGTTCATAAGAGGTTTTCGTACACCAACTGTACTTTCTCCGGTCTGATCAACGTGAGTCCTAAAATACATTCGGTTAACATGCCGCATTACAACTGATCATTTTGTAGTAAAAATGTGTTTTTACATTTTTAACAGCAAAGTTTTCTCGTTTTTTTTTTTTATATAAGTAACATTTTTCTTCTGTAGAAATCCATACTTTCAAACCATTCAATATACCATCTGCTCTGGTCACTGCCTAGCATTCTAAAACAAATTTGTCGTGAGATTACCAGCGTTTGTTCATAATTCGATTAACAACACGCTTGCGTCATTATGTTTTATCACAGCGCAGTAAATTAATTCAATAAGAGGTTTATCGCATCCAAAACAGTGCAGATCATTACATTAAATCTTGTACGTATCATAAATCCAATTGTGGTTGATTTATGAGCAATTTATATAGACACACGTAGTTCTTCTCTGGTTCTTAAAATAATCACTTTTGGTTTTAAATCTATCTGACCACTGTTTGCATTGAATAATAGGTTATCATCCTATACGGCAGACACTGTGAGGTTAAAGCAGAACTGACAGTTCTTCAGAATGGTCAATTCCTCATTTTGACATCCTAGTAAATTATACTAAGGCCCTCATATGCAGAATCATTTTATGTCTCTTTGAATTTTTGTATAGATTTGATGTCCACTGGTAGTGTATTCGCAATAAGGATTGTCTGTTATTATTTTGTTAACAGAGCGTTGATTTTGCCTTTAAATTGGGTTGGTATATTTTACAAACATCTGTCTCTCTGTTATTTCGAAAAAAAGTTATACAGAGGTTCAGTTGCGTATTTTAGGTTTGTGATTTGCTAATTAAACTATTTTTTTTTTTTATAGTACCTGTTTGGAGTGGCGTTAATGTAGCTGGTGTGTCTCTGAAAACTTTGAATCCTGAAATGGGATCAGATGCAGACAAGGAGAACTGGAAGGAGGTCCACAAACAAGTCGTAGACAGGTACTTTCGTGTTGTATTAGTTTGCCTAATCTAGAATTCTGACAAAACAAGAACATTTCCAGAGCTGTGCAGTGTAGCTGAAGCATCTAATATGGATTTCGACTTAAAGAAATAACTTTAAAAAGGGCTGAGATGATTTGCATGACCCCTTGTTGAGTATTCACAAACCTTTTCAGGGCCAAGTCAGTGCGTCTATGGGGAAAGAATTTACTACAGTCCTGCAAAAATTGAGCTCACACAAGATTATTGCATTATAATTGGGTTAATTCTCTTAATTAAAGGGACACCACTCATCAAGCTTTTAAAGCAAGTCATTATTTAGGGGTCTTGAGTGTCCCTTTAAGGTACTGGTAAGGAAATTGCACGTTTTAGGTCAAAATAGCCACACACAAAAAAAAAAAAAAAATACAGAAAGATTGAAATTAAATCTAAATTGGCAAATTTAGGCAGATCTGAAAAAAATATTCTCTAATGCAGTTCTACTAAAAGCTTGGCTAGTTTAGCCTGAATTTTGCCTTGATTATCGCAGTTCTGTGTAGAATTTAGTGAATAAATCACTGTATAAAAAAAATCAGCTGTGATCTTGGCATGTAGTTTGTGAAACAGTACATCCACAAAGTTTATCATTCGGTGGTGACGTGTGACCTTCACAAAGAGCTGGTGGAATGATGGTCATGCATCAAAGACTTATTTATAAGCAAGAGTCCTAAATTGATTTATAAAGCAACTCTGTCATTTGCAGTGCTGGTTAGTGGGGGATTGTGTTTAGGAAGCTAGATTAACGGTTACATTTATCCCATGAAACTTGTATGTTTACAGTGCCTACGAGGTCATCAAACTGAAGGGTTATACATCTTGGGCTATCGGCTTATCCGTCGCAGATCTGGCCGAGACCGTCGTAAAAAATCTCAGGCGTGTACATCCAATTTCTACAATGGTTAAGGTAAACTATGTTTGTAGAAAATCGTTTATTTCATGGCAGAAAAGTGCTTTTAAAAGAAAAATCAGTTCCAAGCAATTTCTGATCCAATTTCTATTTTATCAAATATTTGGCTAAACTCTTATCCAAAGACAGACATTACTTTTTTAAGTAATTTATTTTTAAGGAAACGTGTAAGAAGCATACTTGTTTATGTTTGCATAAATTGGATGTAGTAATTTACAATATGACGACAGGATTAAACGTCCAAAAGCTATTTTATAAGGTTTAAAGAAACACTAGCCAAACCGTTTAATGAATTATCAATGATTTACAGGCACAGGAAACAATGAGTTTTTGTTTGTTTGTTGTTTTTAAGCATTGTTAAAACAGGTGCATAATGGACAACGGTGTATACACCAGTCCAGCTTCCGTGCAGTTTACGAACACCCTTTATTGTATTTAAGAATAAGTTCTTACACGAACACAGAATCACACTATTACTAATTACACAGAAATGAAAACATTTAAGCAAACATAGCAGATATGGGAAAAATCTCCAACTGAGCTACAACCTTTTTGTCACTTGGATATAAAATCACTAGTTTGGTCGTTAATAAATAGCCATGTGTGATATGAAACACGACAATCTCTTCTGGTCTTTCCGTATGAAATTCCTCAGTCCATGTTTTTCCGGTTTCAGGGAATGTATGGTGTGAAAGAAGACGTTTTTCTCAGCGTCCCATGTGTCCTGGGTAATTTGGGTATAACTGATGTGGTCAACATGACACTGAAGCCTGATGAAGAGGATCGTCTAAGAAAGAGCGCAGACACTCTCTGGGGCATTCAGAAAGAATTGCAGTTTTAAGCTGTATTGTAATATTCATGTCAGTCCATTGTCTTAAAGTGTTTTTAAATTTTTATTATACGTTGCACTTTTAGGTCATATTCATTGTATTGTAATTATGTGTATGTGTGTACCTCAGTCCAGTAAACCCTTCATTTCCGCATTGGAAGCCTCTGCTAGTGTAAGTGTACACTAATTAGATGGCTGCTTTTGTTAAGAATAGGTTAATTTAATCATCAGAAAAATTAAATTCATTATGTATTGTGCGTTATGCGTTACCTCCAAACCATTGTCATCACAGCCTGGAAAGAACAATCTGCAAGAAGATTCTGCCTTTGGAGTGAGGCAGAAAAATTTGATATTTATCAACCTTACAGGGACTTAGGTATGATATATAATATAGATAGAGCTGGTGATTGTAATATGATATTGTTTACAGTCTTTAAATAGTGAATGGACAAATGATTAGACCTTTTGTGAATGCAAAGGGTACACACCAGGCTCTTAAAAGGGTCAACATAAATGTACAGTAGTATCTCAGGAAGGCTAGGAATGTATTACTGAAATCTAAATCATCAGTGTAACAAAAGCAGAATTTATCTTGTTGTCTTAGTCAGTTATGGTTGATAAAATTTCCAGTGACAACGAATGCCTGTATTTACAAATTTAGAGTGAATGTGATATATGGAGCAAAGAGAAATGTAAAAGCAAGGCTGAGACACTATTAAATCATGATAATATTTTCTCCTATTTGTGACTTATTCAGAGGTTTCTCCGTATTTTTTATGCATACCAACATTTTATTATATAGCAATAACTAATCACATTTCTATATACTTGCTGCAATTAGGACAGTCTTCTTAAATGATGTTGCAAAGTATTCTAAAAAATTGTTTCCATAGTTGAAGTCCATTATATCCAGAAAGGGAGGGGTGGAATTATGCAACATTTATCATGTGTAGTTTGGCTCTGCCAGGGTAAAACATTAACTGTACAACAGCATGTAATTGCAAAAAACAAGTATGTGACCGTGCTTGTAAGACACAGGCAGCAAAACTAATTTATTTAGACTCATTTTGCATGAGACCTGGCCTGACAACTGCAAAGCTCCAGGAGCTTACTAGGAAGAGATCTCAAATAACGTAATTTACAACATATATACATACGGTCATACAAGTTTATTTTCATGGTCCATGTTTCAGTTTAAGCCTCAAGGGAGGTCAATTTTCCCCTAGTAACCTTTACCACACAGTTTTTCAGATTCTTGGACAAATATCACGTCTCTGGCACATGTGAAATACAGGACAGGAACTGCCCAGCAGTGTGTAGCATTTATAATTTTTATTTTTTTTCCCTCTGCAAGCTGCATAGCCATTATGCAGGCTACCGGAACTTACAATTTAAGTACTATGGGGTTGTGGCTGTATAGTGATTGGCTTGCTTTCGATATTTACCTAAAACTACCACTGTCCAACAGATTCAAACACACCAATGACATGTTATCTTGCCTTTGAAGAGGGGAAACTTAAATGGACACTATAGTCACCAGAACAACTGCAGCTTATTGAATTTGTTCTGGTGAGTAGAATCATTACCTTCAGGCTTTTTGCTGTAAACACTGTCTTTTAAGAGAAAATGCAGTGTTTACATTACAGCCTAGTGATAACTTCACTGGCCACTCCTCAGATGGCTGTTAGAGATCCTTCCTGCGTCATGGCTGCCTAAAATGCATCCAAACATTCAGTATCTCCACCCTCTGCATGCAGACACTGAACTTTCCTCATAGAAATTCATTGATTCAATTCATCTCTATGAGGAGATGCTGATTGGCCAGGGCTGTGTTTGGATCATGCTGGCTCTGCCCCTGATCTGCCTCTTAGTCCGTCTCAGCCAATCCTATGGGGAAGCACTGTGATTGGATCAGGCTACCACTTCTGATGATGTCAGCAGACTGCTTGTTTTTGTTTTTTTGGGGTGGAAACAGCATGCAGAGTTATAGCTTCTGGCTTGAATACAGTAAGATTTTGCTATATTTAGGGAGGCATGATGGTGGTTCTAACACTATAGGGTCAGGAATATGTTTGTGTTCATGACCCTATAGTGATCCTTTAAAAACATTTTGGTGGGTATATCATGAGGATTTGACTGGGGAAACCTTATTTAAAGAATGGTATTAAATTCTCGTTTGACATCTAAATAGTAAAGAAATGCATTACAAGGCCAGGGGTAATAAGTTGAGAGTTGTAGAATTTCTTCAGTTAACTTTTAAATGCATCAATTTGGCTAAATTAAGAAAACAAATTATTTAAAAAGAGAAAATAGCAAGTAGTTTACCTTTACTTATAAGCCAATGAAGCTTAAAAGAGAACAGTATTAAATAAAATAAAAATTATTTACATGTGATGTAGTACTTGGTATAGTGCCTTGTGCTTGGGTTGGGTAACAATGGCTTGAATGACAATCACACCACCTTGAGCAAGACGCCTTATTATATATATATATTCGCCTACCTCAAATCCTCACATTGAAAGCTCATTTGAACAGGACCTGGCTATAATAACAAGGCCATTTAAATCATTCACACACCTTCAATACTAATTCTAGTCAGAAATGTGTTGACTGTACGTCACCACTTGCATTTCGTGTGCAACTATACTTTGCACACAATTAATGTTTGGATTTTTTCCACCATTTGAATTATTTATTTTTAAAATTAATATAAAATCTCCTGAAAAAACTTCCAGTACAAGGAATTGCTAGTGGTAAATGAATAGCCCTCCCCACAACAGAAGACACTATTTATTTTTTAAGTTTTTTTTAGTTATTTCTGTTATTTTTGTTTGAAAACATGGCACCTGGACGCCTAGAAAGCCTGTAAAAAATAATTTAATGATTACATTCAAACTTCAGTCAAAACAAAGCTTTGCAAGTTTATCGCTAAGAACAAGATGCTGATTTATTTTACATGATGAATAAAAAGAGAACATCACCAATGAGTACCGGATACTGTAGACGGTATAACAGCTGTGAAGCTGTAATCCTGCCAGGATGACAAACCTTAAATGAGGGATAATTTTCCCACTCTAAAAATAACCGGCCTTTCTGATGGCCGCTGGAGCTGTGGTTTGGCCCCATCTAGCCTCTCTTTAGGAGATGAGACTCTATACGGTCCATGGTAGGTGGGCTGCTGACCCAGCCATTGAGCTGCGTTACAAGTCGTCTTCAGTGAAGGGAACTATTATTGTCAAAGGACATGTGCTAGCTTTGCAAAAAGCAGTTCTTAATATACAGTAAGTGCTTCCTTGTCCTATATAATGGCTGATATTAACACTTAAGGTGAAAGGAGGTGAATATTTAGTTGTTCATAAATGGCCATTTAATTAACTCTTGAAAGCCAGGCATTCAGTTAAATGACCACTATAGTCACCCAGACCACTTCAGCTCAATGAAGTGGTCTGGGTGCAAGGTCCCTCAGGTTAACCCTTCAGATGTTAACACAGCAGTTTCGGAAAAACTGCTATGTTTACATTGCAGCGTCAATCCTGCCTCTAGTGGTTGTCTTCCTGACAGCCGCTAGAGGCGCTTCTGCGACACCGAATGAATGAAAAAAAAAAAAAAAAAAAAAAAAAAAAAAAAAAAAAAAAAAAAAATCGCATTCAGCATTCAGAACATCCATAGGAAAGTACTGAGAAATGCTTTCCTATGGACGTTTTTAATGTGCACGTGACTCTTGCCGTGCATGCGCATTCCGCTCCACTCGGGAGCTGACGTGAGATTGGGAGGAGAGGTCACCAGTGCTGGATTTTTACCCCTTCAGCCCAGCTAGAGGGGGCCTATTAACCCTATAGTGCCAGGAAAACTAGTTTGTTTTCCTGACACTATAGTGATCCTTTAAAATCCATTTGTTTTCATAATAAAGCATTACACACGTAGATGACCACTTCCAAGTAAAGTCAGAGTTCTATTGACTAATGCTGTGTGGAACGTACCCAATAGTTTGCATGGAATTCACCAGAGCAGTGAGTGCAGTTAAAAACAAAAAAAATCATACTGTCAGTACCTGGAATGTTTGAACAGTAACTATCATTGCAGGTTCTTTAGGCAGCAAAGGGTGCCTATACAAAGAAGGCTAAGATCAAAAGGACTAAACTAAAAAGGGCAATGTCTCACATTAATAGTTGCCACTTAGCACACTGGAGAGAGAGGCAGTGGCACACACGCATCATTTTATTTTATGGCAGTGATAAGCTAGCCGTTTCCTTCTCCCCTATGCAAATCACTACACAGGAATTCCGCATGATGAAATATGACATGAGCCATATCATGGTGTTTGAGAAAGAATAATCTGATCGCAGCTTTAATGCTGTAGTTAACACATGAAAAAGAATTAGTATCTATTTAATTACACAATAATAAAAATGATTCATATACAATGATCATGAATGCCGCTGTTTTAGGTGAAAAGTTGTGACGCTGTACAAGAAACTCACATACAAACATAAACATGATCAATTTGCTACTGTTCTAAGCAAATAAGTCAAAATACAGTATCTCCTGTTTATCAGGAAATAAGGGGGAGGAAATAAAGAAAAAAATGTATATATATATAATTTTTGTTGTTGTTGTGGAGATCGTGCCTTTACATATTTAACTGACCATCCACATATTATAGTACAAATAGCTAACCTAATTGATGTGAAGGATAAGCGACAAACATGAATAGAAATTCGCTACCTGCAGCACTGGTGTGCAGTCCCATAGTAGCCCTATGTCCTTTGTACAAGAGTCGAATACATTTTTAATGTAGATTGCAACTGCTGGTGCAGTTTATATGATCACTCAGACAGTGTTTTCAAAGCACAAAATAAGACAAAGCAAGCCTTTTTTGTTGTGCGAACACTGAAAGCATATGTACAGAGCAAGAGAGGAATGTCAGATTCTTGGCTCTTTCCCATATGTGGTATTGCTTAGCCAGTTATGAAGAGAATTCCTACTTTAATTTATAAATGAGACTGCACAGCAGCGATGTCATAAAATGTCCAGTCATTTAAAATAGCTTTTCTTCTCTTGAGCTATGCATGTGCCTTCTGTTCAGACACTGTTCGAGGTGATGCCAGGTTAACGTGCAAGTAAGTGCAGTACAATTTACGGACTCTGGTTCTCGTCAAAGAGAAGATGCGCTTAAAGAAAACAAAAAAGTGCGTCAAACCATCACAGATTCCTCCCCAACAGAAACCTATTCAGCGGTTTCTTTTAACAATAAGAATAACTTAACCGAGATTTCTAATGATTTTTAAAGAAATTAGAAGAGATCATAAAACATGAGAGCTACAAAAAAAAAAGAAAAGAAAAAAAAAAAGAACATTGATGTCCAGTGTTAATACAGATCACTCAGTCCCGCCGTCTTCCGGGCTTTCTGCATGAGCGCTCTGAGCTGGAACTGCTTGCGGGACAAGAGACGGACGTGCTGTGAAACAAAAGAGGCAAATTTTCTGTAAAAATAATACTTGACCCCAAGTCACCCTGTCATAAAGTGGAGATTATTTGACCATGAAAACCTATTATCAATCTTTCAGAATGCTGAGATTATAAAATGATTGAAAAAGCTAGCATCATGCATCAAGGATACAAGCTATCGGTGAGGTGCTTGCTGATATAGAGCACAAGGAATTCACGGGAATCTGCATCATAATTGGATAGATTTAGGTTAGATACAGGTCACGGTCATTGGAGTAATTTAACATGACTGATGCGTGCAGCGGTAATTAGGGTAGTATTACAATAAGAGCAGGAGAATAAGGGA